GGGAAAGAGAAGAAAAAAGTATCCATTAAGAATATAATAGTCAACTGTCATTGATAAATCTAAGAATTTTTAATCAATCTCCATAATTATTTAATTTTAGTTCTTTATCATCGTGGTGTCTTTTTGATCAGGTGTGAGCTACCCTATTCCAAAAAAAAAAAACAATTGTCATTTGTAGTTATAGGTAGGATTTCTAAATTCAACTTTTTATCCCTTTGTTCCAACAGTGCTATCGTATTATTCTCTTTGCTTATTCTCTGCTTGTCTCTATTCCAAGTATACGAGACTCTTCATGTACAGTTCGATTCACTCACCTTCTATCATTCGGTTGGATCTTGATGATGCTCATCTTTTTTGCCGTAGAGTGACAGCAGCCTCGAATCTCCATGCTTTTGAGACGCCGAAAACCGAACCAGTTCCTCCTCTTCTTGTTCCAGTAGCTCTGCATCTGCCAATGGCTCCTGCTCAGGATCTGGCTGTTTCCGGCAACAGATATGGAGAAATGTTACAGACAGATTTCGTTAACCAACCGACCTCACATTGGACACGCGGTTCGAATAAACTCACACTTCCTGCAATATCTGCGAAGGCCGATAGCCTCTTCTCCTTTGGGAGAGCAAGAGGACTACTCGGTTCATCTGGCTTAGTAACATCATCGTCTGTGATTCTGAACTCTTCTATTCCCATCGATTTCAATGCACCCTCCTGGATCACATACACAATTCCAATGTAAGATGTCATCATCAACTCGTCAACAATGTTATATCTTCTAGTGGAGGAAAGACTTGAAATGGCATCTCAAAATACCACAACGTGATCTGAGAACGCTCCTTCACCTTCATTGTCAAACATGCCAGTTCCAGGGGCTGTCAATGGCAAACCCTGAACATAGACATGTTCAAAGAATTCGATTCAGAATCACCGGAATCCACTACCGACATAGAAATCATTAGCATGGTGAACACCAATACCGTTGTGGATTCTGTGAGGGCTCCTTGAGGGCGTGGCCAGAAAGTACCAAGGGTTCTCGAGCTGGAACCCTGAAAGTATACAATTTTCAAAGTGAAGTGTCAATTCTTCAAATGATTCATAAGCACCAAAGATAGGCTAAAGAAAAATCAGGTTACCGTCATGTAGGGTGCTGCTGGAGGGCGAAACCAGCTAGAAATACCAGGGTCAGTAAATGGGACGCCCTGAACATATAGCAAGTTCCAAACTAAAAATGTCGATTCTGCTATCTTTCAGACAAAAATCCTGTTTCAAAACGGAAGAAACGGCGCAACAGTTACCGCTGCATATTGAGGGAGTGCTCCTGGAGTGTGAAACCAGCTAGCACCGTAAGGGACAGGATAACCAGCTGGCGGGTGAGGCTGTCGAAAATCCTGATAAGGCGACAGGCTTAACATCGGATTGTAGTATACAGCTGCTTGAGCAGACATAATTGGTGGTGGCTGTGGAGGCCAAAATGGTGGCCGGCTTGGATATATCTGCTTCAGGGATTAAGCATTACCTACTAAGTTATAGATCATAGCAAAACAAAAGTATACGATAAGAATCTTGACCTCTTGAGTAGGAGCTGTAAAACGCTGCGAATACGGCCTCCACGGGCGTGGAGGAGGTGCTGGTGTAGGCGGTGTCCTGCCAGATTGCTGTCTCGAGTGTTCCGTGGTTTCGCTTCCGCCTTCTTTGCTCATGATTAACGTTCAAGATTTCACTGAAAACGTTTGTTGACGACCATATGTGAACTTACAGGAGAAGAAATTGGAAAGGATCATCTGCTGCAGAAGCATGATTGAAGCGAAAAGCAAAGAAACCGATTCAGATTCGGTAAGCTACGGTAACTACATTTTGAGAAATGGAAGAGACGCAGAACTTTGGAGATCATCGGTGCAAACGAGCACGTGACAATAATTTCACAAACAATGATCAACGGAAAGGACTTCTCGAGAGCAAGGATACAGATGAACAGTCGCCATTGATGCATATCTGAAACCCTAAATCCCAACTAGGTTTCGACTAGACCAAGAAGAAGAAAAAGAAGAGAATTCTGACAGATAGCCAAAAATCAAATTCCCGAAAGAATCCAAAACAGAGACCGATACCATCACTTTTCTAAGCTATACAAACAATTATACATATATCGCCATGGATGAGTACACAGAGAAGATAAGAGAAACAGAGAGATACCTTTCGACATTGGCGGGAAACAAAAATGATTGGAGTTCTGAGAGAAGGAAACGCGAATGAAGAGCAGCAAGAGGGGCAGAGCCGTTTATATTACTAACCCCGTGGGTTAATCAACGGCTGAGATCATCTTTGTGAACGGATCTACGGTCCAGGATAGATGCACTTTCATACTGCTGCAAAACGTGGGACCTTACCAAGTTTGAACAATTTGTTTTTTTGTTCCCTCTCTAAATACTCATAAAACCATAAAATTGTAATTAGAATATTTGAAACTAAAAATTCTATGAATAGAAAAAAGAGGATTGCTTTGTTCATTCTGATGTTATCAATATGTACATCCTCAGGACTAATATTTCGGATCGGCTGTTGCTTTGGCCACATTCTCAGTGTGGTGGTGTTGCTACACCGTTTTCCAGTATCGTCTTCTCTCCATGTGCTTCAATGCCCTCGTCTTGGCCATGTTCTTCGTCCGCTCCTTCGTTCTCTTCTGTTCTTGGGCTTTGCGGCAGAGAAAGCTGTTCCTGAGGAGGAGGATGATGGTGCTCTACTTCAGGCTGTGACTGAGAACCCTGAAAAATGCAACGGCTTTCTCAGAGCAACCCACAAGGCCAGACATACTTCTTCACGATATCAAGGACCTTTGCACAAATGATAACGTGCCCTTTCACCAGGAAAAGGATTCGATTTTTGGAGCAAAATCAGACAATCTAATAAAAAGCAATGTGGTCGAAGTTTTTACCTCAGTAAGTGGTACAAAATATGGTGTAGTAGTTGGTGGCGGCCACGGCAGCATCTGTGGTACGAGTAGCCATGGCTGCGGCTGCTGGTACATTGGCCACCAAGGATATGGTGATGGCTGTGGCCACATCACCGGTGGCTGCTGTGAAGAACTCCACATAGGTGGTGTTAGCTGCGGCCACATCGGCTGCACCCACATCTGCGGTGGCGCAGTACCACCGCTGGCAGAGTTGTGGGTCCCACTGTTATATGGTGAGGGCTGTGGCCACATCACCGGTGGCTGCTGTGAAGAACTCCACATAGGTGGTGTTAGCTGCGGCCACATCGGCTGCACCCACATCTGCGGTGGCGCAGTACCACCGCTGGCAGAGTTGTGGGTCCCACTGTTGCTGACGGCGGAGGAGGAGCGAGAGCGGCGGCATCGCTGGCACGATTCCCGCCACCCGAAGTTCAAGTGGCTGCACCGCAAGCAGACCCAGTTTACCCGCCTCCTCATGTTTTCCTGGGCACTTTCTCAGTGATTATATTTCCTGCTGCATTTTTCTGACGCTTAAATTCAATTATTAATCTCTCAGAAAATAAAATCAATTTCCAAGCATTCGCAAGACACGAAATTCCAAGAAATTGAGGCAAATTCCCGCGACAACGTTTCGGATTCCAGAACTAGTTCATCAAAATCCTGCGATGACCATTCATTTTCGCGATTTCTAGCATAGCAATGAAATTTCTCTATTGTCATCGACGTATAAAAATAACTCGATTTCTTCAGAAAGAAGAGGGATTAAGCCTAAACCCTGAAAGAAGAGGGATTAAGCCTAAACCCTAAAATCCCAATCAAGGTTTCACAAGATCAGAAGAGGAAGAAGACGAAAAGCCCAAAATCAAGCTCGAGAACCAAGAGAGAGAAAAAAGATGGATCACACGACCAATCCTCAAGGTAATTCAAACGCATCGCCATGGATGAACAAAGTGCAACCTTAGTTGGAGAAGAAAAAGGCGAAAGACATACCTTCTCCGATGGCGGGAAACGAAATGCACTCAGACTGCGAAGAAGAAAGTGCAAGGATCCGAGCTATTTATATAGCAGATACCGAGGGTAGATCAACGGCTGAGATCACGCAGGTGAGGTAATCAGCGGCCCAGGAGAATCTCTCACCACGACACGTGGCCGTATTCATATGAAACGAGATAGGAAAAGAGAGATTCATATGTTGTTAAGAAGATGACTTCTTCCGCAAGAAAACTGATTAGAGAGAGAGAGAGTGTGTGTGTGTAAGCGTATTGAAGAAAGTGAAGTGAATGCACATTTTGGTCGCCGGCGAGAAAAATGAAGTGTCGCAGATCGTCGAAGAACAGTTGCAAGTGGATGCCGTACAATGGTCGACGGCTCAGATGATTCGTTGGATAAATCTACGGTCCGCAATAGAGAATCATGGTAATTCATTTGTTGAATTTAAAATGGTAAAGAAAATGATGAAAATTCGAATTTAGGGTATGGGCTATGATGCACATCTGTAGGGCCCATATGTGGCCCACCCAAAAATGTGAGGGGCCGAACTGAAAATACCCTAAACCTAGGTTTCCATGGAGCCACCGGATGGAAGACAGAAGATCTTCATTCTTAGAATATATATATATAATGTTTCGATATGTTTTGTTTGATTTTAGTAAGGGTAAATATCTAAAATATTTTTCATTACATATTTTGATACCTAAATAATTTTTTGTTTTAATATCTTGATTTTTCAAAAACACATTTTAATATCTGAATTTTTTACCATTCAATATACAATAAAATGATAATATAAACAATACAAATATAAAAGTGTCTTTTAAATTGTTTATTAATTCTTTTATTAACTTTAATTATTCTAAGAAAATTGAAATACCAAAGTCCCACAAAAAAAATCCAACTATAGATATAGCGAAAAATAATTTCGATATTTAAAAAATCTTTACCTATTTTATTAATAAAGCCCTTTTTTTCTCGGATATGAATAAAATCTGTTCATTAATCTAGCGTAGAAAAACACAAACAGGTTAAGGTTTTCAAATGAAATATTAAAAATCCAAAATTTCAAACATTTTTGGAGTTGTTGGTTCATGTTCCACAGAAATATAATCAAACACAATATATAACCAACACTAAACTAATTCTGACCAATATATAACCACTTCTATCATATTTTGATTTTGAGTTTTATTTGTGTTTGATTTAAATCAATTTTTCTTAAAAAATTATTTATTCGTAGGGATATTTTTTTTCTTCACATTTTAATTATTTTTATATTTGTTTATATTTTAAAAAATAAATCATTTCAATTTTAAAATCCATCGGATACAATGTTGTGCTATTGGATCTGATATTTCTATAAAAAAAAAAAGAATAAAAAGTCCAACGATAACTCCCTCTCTCATTAGATCTAATTTGTAAAAAAAAAATTGAAATTTATTTAGCTACTTTCCTATTCGATTAGTTAAATATTTGAGAAACAACAGAGAAATCCAGCTCAAAGATTGTTCAGGTAAACAATAATGTATAAATATTAAAAAGAAAAATCACGTGACTTGTGGAAGCAAGGCAATGAAGGGCTACGCGTTACAAAGCACGTGACGTAGCGTGTGATCCTTACTCATGAAATAATTCCACCATTAGCCAGTCGACACGTGTACATTCTCTATCCGATTTTCACGTATTTTCCGAATGCCGTTTTTTTTTTCCACCGATTTTTTAAATTTCCATTTCTACAAATTCGCCCTATTTTAACTTTACAATCTTAAATTTTTCCCCTTGGGAATTTTATTTTGATTTTTTTTTATACTCATCACACATCTTAAGGGGCACTTTGGTAATTTGGTAACAGTAATTTCAACTTTTTTTTAAAAAAAATAATGGCTTGGTTAGCAAGTTATGAATGATTTGATGGAAGAGTATAAAAAGGGGAGTGAAGAAGCTCTATTTGTTGCAAAGATTTTGCTTCGACTCTTAAAATTCTCTTTCCTTATTTGGTGTTTTGCATACAAATTACTAATCGCTTGGGGAGTCCAAAGGCTAATTTGATTCAAGGTAATCTCTCTCTCTCTCTATATATATATCTATATCTGTATCTCTCTCTCTCTCTATAGCTTATAATTAATTCAGTGATTTGTTAAGTTGTGCATAAGTTAAATTAGAATATATATTACTATGATATATATGGAGATTTTAACCTCGTTTTCTATATATTCTGTGTGTATTTTTCTACTTGGCTTGACTTAATATATATACATCACCATTTGTATTTTTGGATCAAGAGAGCTAGCGTGTGTGTGTATATATATACACATACATGTTGATGTCCCTGCTATGTCGATCTAAAGATAACAATAAGGATGAGGATAATCCAGCACCTTGTTTTATTTCCTAACATATATGTATATATATAGTATAATAAAGTTGACAATCTGTAAGGTAACGACATCATTAACGAGAATTTGACAATGATGATTCATGCGTATGATCATCTTACGTTACGTACGTATGTGTATGTAATATATATATATATATATACACATATATATATGTAAAGAAGGGGGTACGAAAAAGCTTTTCAAAAACAGTTTTCGATCAAAATTTGTGTTCTGTTCACACTTCAAAACTCGTCTTTTCGTCGCTTTCGATGTGTTTCTTATGTTCTTAGGGCTTAAGTTTATATGCTTCTTCATGAATATCTTCATGTTAATTTGCCCCAACATTTTAGACACACACACACACACACATATATCCACATCTATACATACGCACGCGCGTGTGTATATATATGAGCGTGTTGTAAGAGGTCTTGGTGTTGTTTTGGTAACCGGTAGGATTTAGAGAGAGGGGAAGCAACAAAACTTCTAGAGAGAGAAAGAAGACATCACTATATATATATATATAATAATATATGAGGTACGTACGTATAGTGAATGTGAAGGATATACATGCATATATATATTTATACATATACCGATAAAAATGGTAGAGAATATATATCGTAGTGATGATAAACGGTTCAATATTCCATACATTTATAATGAGACTTAAGGGGTATGTTAACACACATAAGATGTCGTGTGGGCATTGTTTATCACATGCCATCATCGTCACCTTATTATGATCACGTTTCATTAAGAAAATTAAATTAAAAACAAAACAAATACTCAAATCGCCATCACGTTTTGGAGAAAAACCAGTTTGATTTTACGAGAACATTATTACGATATGTGGACTTACTTGATCAAGCTTATAGTGTTTATTCTCTATCTTAATTAGTTTGTTTTATCGACGTGGAATATACATATACATATACATATACATATACATATACATATACATATACATATACATATACATATACATATACATATACGTGTGCATGTGTATATATGTATGTGGGTAGGGAAATAGGCGGCTAAGTAAACAGTAGACGTTTGCTTCCCGCGTTTACCAAATCCAAACATACACTAATAATGCGTGCAAGCTATTTGTCCTCATCATTACTTCTTCGTTAACGGTTCTTTACTCTCTTCTTCAAGCTTCCTCCTCCTCCTTGTTATCCCTAATTTAATCCCTTCTCTCCTTTCCCCCTTTTTCTCTCCCACACAATTTTCTTTTCTTTCCTTTTTCCCGGAAAATCTCTCTTCTCTTGGACTCTTCATCCTTTTTGACTTCTATCAATCTTCTTTTAAAGCCTCAAAGTTTCCATCTTTGTGATTGGTTTCCTCATCTAGGTTAAAATACATTCTTTGTTCTTTTGTCCGCATGCCCATATATATATATATATATATATATATATGCTTGTATACATAGTTTCGTTCCCATAGCTTCCCAATTTTTTGACCTTTTATCATCCTGTCTCGTGTATACCAGTTCTGAATCTGTCGCAGCTTTTGATTTACCTTCTGCGTAGATGTGCATGTACATAAAATGCATATACCTATATATCTATATGTGGATGTGGTCGTGTACATGCATGCGCTCCCACATCAACACATGCATAGTTGTATATACATATGCACAGAACTAAAGCTTTGATCTTCGTTGCTTTCTCTGATTGTAGCGAATCTCAGATCGTGTTTGGAACAATGGGAAACCAAGCGAGCAAGAAACCACCTGCAGAGTCGTCGTCGTCGTCATCATCGGCTAAGAGCACAACTTTGCACTATACGACGGAACTGAGGTCGTACGAGGCAGCCTGCAAGGCGGATCTGGAACTGCAGTCTTTCGACACGAGCCTTCAGGCTCGGACTAACCACGTGATTAGCACCTTGGCCACGGGTGTCGAGGTCCGAGCTCTCTCCTTCGATTCCCTCAAGGAAGTGACCGGGTGCCTGTTGGAGATGAACCAAGAAGTGGTCAGAGTCATACTTGAATGCAAGAAAGATATATGGAAGAGCCAGGAATTGTTTGAGCTCGTCGAAGAGTACTTCGAGAACAGCTTGAAGACGTTGGATTTCTGCGCTGCCCTTGAGAAGGGCCTGAGACGTGCCCGCGATAGCCAGCTTCTGATTCTCCTCGCCCTTCAGCAGTTTGACGACGAGAGCCTCATCAAAGGTATATATGTACCTTTTTTTTTCCCTCACCTCTTTCTTCTGTATTCTTGGTTCAAGCTCGAAGAAAATGGGTTGCTTTTCCAGGAGGGAACCGGTATGAGAAGACGCTCGAAGAGCTGAAGAACTTCAAGGAGGCAGGGAGTCCTTTCGACGAGGACTTCTTCAGGATCTTCCAGTCAGTGTACAGACAACAGATGCTGATGCTGGAGAAGCTACAGCTTCGCAGGAACAAGCTCGATAAGAAGCTCAAGTCTATCCACTCTTGGAGAAGACTCTCAAGCATGATCTTTGTGCCCACCTTTGCCACTGTGCTCATCTGCTCCGTCGTGGCTGCTGCCATGGCTGCTCCACCTGTTGCAGCCGCCCTAGCGGCGGCTACATCCATCCCGCTGGGTTCAATGGGGAAATGGATCGACTCTTTGTGGAAGAATTACGAGAATGCGCTCAAAGGGCAGAAAGAAGTTATCAGTTCGATGCAGGCGGGTACGTATGTGGCGATCAAGGATCTGGATAATATCCGGGTTCTGATCGAGCGGCTGGAGATTGAAATCGAAGGGATGGTAAAGAGTGCGGAGTTTGCTGTGGAGAAGGAAGCAGTGATGATAGGGATCGAGGAGATAAGGAAGAAGCTTGGGATCTTTATGAAGAATGTAGAGGAATTGGCACTTCAGGCCGATTTGTGCAGCAGAGATATAAGGAGGGCAAGGACTGTGATTCTGCAGAGGATCATCAAGCATCCCAATAACAGCAGCAGCAGCAGTAGCACCTGAAATGCATAAGAAACGGGTGCTTCAGGTTGGCCCAAAAAAAAAAATAATTGTTCTCAGACTCCAAAAAGATCACAGATTCTTTTGCGAGTTTATACAGTATTATCATCGTTCTTACATTATCTCTATAATGGGAAACAATAGGCTTTCCACATTACCATTTGCAACCTGTCCGTGCAGGATCATAGATTTCTGAGAAACATAGCGACGTTCATGCATATGAATAAATGATATATCTTGGTTCAGAAACCACTGGTGTTGTAAAAATCATGTTAACCATGGAAACAGAGCATGTCGCATCAGAATCTGGATACCCAGAATCTCAGAGGAGTTCATAGAAGGGATCTGTCGCCATGATTGCAGTGAACAAAAGCTTGATTCTGTTAGTGGAACAAAAACAAAGGGTATCTAACAAATCTTGATTTTGACATGAAAAAGGGACAATCAGCATGAAACAGACCATATGTTGAGGAAAAGTTCTCACCTCAACACAACTGGGCTTGAATGAGGATTAATTATAGGAAATATCTGCAATCCCCATCCTCTTTCTGTGTAGCATATTTGGCTCTTCCAAGAAGATCTAGTCCTGAAAACTCAGATAAGATTATGAACAAAGCATCTAAATGACCCAACAATCTCAATGCTCAGAAGATGATCGAAAAGACTCTTCACTCTTTTCATTGCAACATCAATGGCTGTAACATCGTCACGTATAGCAAAGGCTACAGATCTCAATTTCTGAAACAAATTTAAAACTACGCTACACACTCTGAACGAATTACTAGTTTACAACTGATTGAGGTCCACTGGGTTCTCCATGCACTGTCTGATAATGAACTCAGCCCTCCTCCTTTTGTCGTCTCTATCCTCATCACGCACAAAGGACATGGGTCTCTCTTCACCCTTCTTCTGCAGACTGAGATCCAAGGGTTGCCCGAGAAGTTTCTTACCTGTTCCAATCTTAAAGAGAACAGGAGGCTTTTTCTTCTTCCTTTCAGCATCAACTTCACCACAATGCTCATCTTTTGCAGCTTTGATGGCAGGAGCAAATGCCTCTACCACTGATAAGCCGTTTATATCGTCTCTCTCCCCTGCTTCCGACACCGAAGCAGTCTGCAATTTACTCTCGTCTTTTCTGAAATCCTCTTTCACACCATCCATATCGCCCCACATTGGACTTGCTGAGGACATTTTAGAAACCAGCTTCTGCTGCAGACTCAACAAAGCACTCTCGGCCTTCCTCCTTTGCTTGGATTGCTTAATTTTGTCGCCACGAGGATCTGAGGCCCTTTCAACCCACATCGGGGTTTCCTTGTAAGTGTGAGGATCAGGAAAAGCCGGTAACCAGAGAGGTATATGCTTCCCCGGAGGGTCTTCACCCATTTGCACAAAACTGGGAATCATCTTACTGCTATCACTAACAATTACTGGAAAACGTGGCAAAGGCTGCACGAAAGGGACTTCTTCGCTCGAATTCACGTAATCGACGATTTCCCTCAATTTCACCGAATGTGCAACGCAATTACCCCCCGACGAGAATCTCTCCCCATCAGAACCGCCACTCAAATCTTCCAAAGCGAGAACGATATCGAACACGTTACACTGATTCCTACCCGTCAGGTTAGCGAAGGAAGTAGCAGCTTTACCTAGCAGAAGAACATACTGGACCGCGAGGTCCGTGAGAGATTCAAGAGCAGGATCCCGAAATTGATCGTACCCGATACTCTCGCAGACCTGACCCACCGCGAGCTTCGCCGCCGAGCGGCTGAACTCGACGGAAATGACGTCTCTCCGGTCATCTTCCCGCTCTCCGTCGATTCCCATGGCTCGGAGATTCAACACCTCACAGACGCGAAGCTAGGGTTTTCGCCATCGCTCAAACGGCATTCGCCGCCGCTAAATCTGGGCGGAGAAGAAATCCCAGGCGGTGAAATTATCCCCCGGCAAGAGGGAAAAAAACCCTAGCGAAAGAGCGCGAGAATTCAAGATGAGAGAGAGAGGGATCTTTGGAGGGAGAGAACGAGACCTGAAGGCCCTCTATAACGACCTTCAGGACTTGCGTCTCGTCTCGACTTTATAGCAAAAGCCGAAACTTTTCTCGCTCAGATACTAATGATGATTTTTTATCCATTTAATTATTTACAGCATTTATTATATTATTTCGTCTCTTAATGTAATAATTATATTACTTATATATACACCTCTAAATTATTACCTGTATATATTTACATAATTATATTACTTATAAATATATTGAGCCAATAACACAACATCCCTTTTGTTTGAATATATTTGAGACAATTTATGTTGCCACTAACAAGTCTAACAATTCCATAAAAATAGATTTTTTACCAAACAAAAAATAATAATTCATGAAAATGTACGTTTCAGATTCTACCTCCAAAGTCTTGGAAAAAAGAGAGCGATAAAAACGGCGTCGTTTCATATGCGGTTTCGACTGCAAGATTGGAAACTGTGCGATTCCTTTTCACCCCGGAATACGTCTCTCTCTCTCTCTCTCTCTCTCTCGCGCGTCAGCTTCCAAGTCCACTCGCCGGCCAAACTCTCGCCGGAATCCTCTGTGATCTCGCGGGGTTCTTTGCGTTTCTCTCTCTGTTCTCTCTACTTTCGCTTCCCCGACGGTGTCTCTTTTCTCATTCGTTTTGTCACGTCCTTTCTTCTGTCCTTGCGTTTTCCTTCGCAGCACCCGAGGGTTGTGTTGAATTTCGCTCTTGTCGTTTCCGAATCATGTTCTTTCTTCCGTAATTTCGATCGATGGATGACTACTTGGTTGACAAGGAGGATTCTTATTACTCCTCCGATCAAGATTCCCTTAACGGGCTGGATATCGATGATTCCGATTTTCTTTTAGCGCCAGCCAGAGAACCCACTGCGAAGGTCTACACGTTCTTTCGTGTGTTTTGTGGTGAATTCCCTTGTTCTGTCTCTGGACTGAATCCGGTTTCAGAAGCGTTACCTTAAGATTTTCATAGTCACTGAGCTTCGTGCTTATGTCTATGGAGTATGTATATGAAAGTTGGAATCGACTGGAGATTTGGTGTGTTTTGCTCCTGCGTGAATTAGGGTTTTCTTGCTTTAACCACCTGAGAATCATATTGTGGATGATACATTGGAGTTTGTTGATTGTTTTGGCTGCTTATCTCAACTACAATGTGCAATTTGTATGCTTTATTTTCACGATGAGGATCGGAATTGGCTGCGTCACCTCATCTAGAGAAGCCATTTTTTGTGTTCTTTACGAGCTATAATCGTATAGCTAGATTTTTTCTAATCATATGTCTGCATTTTGTAGGTTATTACGAAGGAATCGCTTCTGGTGGCACAGGTAAATGGGCAAAGTTTACTCTTATCAAGTAGCTGTCCATGGCTTTTTTTTTTCCCCTTTAGGGTCAACCTTAACGCAGTATAATTCGATCTTTGAATGCAGAGGGAGTTTATGCGAAGGGTGATGGATTTGTTATCGCTTAAGGAGCACCATGCTCGGACTCTTCTTATTCATTACCAGTGGGATGTGGAGAAGTTGTTCTCTGTTCTTGTCGAGAGAGGGAAGGATGACTTGTTTGCTGCAGCTGGTGTCTCTGTTGTTGAGCGTCAACAGGACAATTCATCCTTGTCCCCTTGTACAACAATGGCTTGTGTTATCTGTATAGAGGATGTGCCGGGTGATCAGATGACGAGAATGGACTGTGGCCATTGCTTTTGCAATAATTGTCAGTTCCTTATTCCATCCTTCTTTCCTTAGTTCCTTTGTTTCATTTCGTTCCCCAGTTTCTTATCAAGGATGTTGTGGTTATTCTTTTGTTGGTCACCCTCTGAGTTGGTAGTTTTATTGCTAGGACGGTTCTTTTGCTTTGAAATTGAAGAGAGCATTTTATGGCAAAAGCATATGTTTGTTTACTGCAGTTATTCTATATTTTTGTTTTGATTTTCTCCCTTTAGGTTGGACAGTGCATTTTACTGTGAAGATAAACGAAGGTCAGAGCAGAAGGATTAGATGCATGGCTCCTAAGTGCAATGCTATTTGTGATGAAGATGTTGTCAGGAGTTTAGTTGGTAAAAGCCGTCCAGATCTTGCTGAGAAGTTTGATCGGTTTCTTCTGGAATCATACATTGAAGATAACAAGATGGTGAAGTGGTGTCCAAGCACTCCGCATTGTGGGAACGCCATACGGGTCGAGGATGACAAGTTGTGCGAGGTAGAATGTTCCTGCGGTTGTCAGTTCTGTTTCAGTTGTTTGTCTGAAACCCACTCCCCTTGCTCTTGTTTGATGTGGGAACAATGGAGAAAGAAGTGCCGGGATGAGTTAGAGGCAGTTAAATGGATTACAGTTAACACTAAGGCGTGTCCCAAATGTGGCAAACCTGTGGAAAAGGACGGTGGATGCAATCTCGTGACGTGTATTTGTAGACAATCATTTTGGTGAGAACCCTATCCTTTTGTTTCTCCTCTTTTAATTTTTTAAGTATCATCTTTCTTGCACATCTTTTTCTGTGCTTGGCGCTGAACTTATATGAGGTGTTGATGGCTCTCATGTTTGGCTGTTGTTTTCTACAGTTGGTTATGTGGTGCAGCTACTGGGAGGGATCATACTTGGTCTAGAATCTTGGGTCATAGTTGCGGTCGGTACCAAGAAGACAAAAAGAAACAGATGGAGAGAGGAAAAAGAGATACTTATCGGTATATGCATTACCATAACCGATACAAAGCACATATCCATTCCTTGAAGCTGGAGAGTAAACTTAAGGATACTATCCTTGAGAAAGTGTCAATTTCAGAAGAGAGGGAGTTGAAACTTAAGGACTTCAGCTGGGTTACCAATGGACTCCACCGGTTATTCATATCAAGGCGAGTTCTTTCATATTCTTACCCTTTTGCATTTTACATGTTTGGAGATGAGCTGTTCGAAGATGAGATGACGTCTCAAGAAAGAGAAATAAAACAGAATCTGTTTGAGGATCAGCAGCAACAGCTTGAGGCTAATGTTGAGAAACTTTCCAAGTTTTTAGAAGAGCCTTTTGATCAGTACACTGCTGATAAAGTGATGGACATTAGGATTCAAGTCATCAACTTGTCTGTCACGGTCGATACCCTCTGCAAGAAAATGTTAGTCTCACAATTTGTGAAAACTAAGCTGTGAATGTCTCTGTCTCCTTAAACTGATGAAAACAAGTGCGTCTGTTTGCAGGTATGAATGCATCGAGAATGAATTACTGGGCTCTCTCCAACTTGGCATCCACAACATCGCTCCTTACAAATCGAAAGGCATCGAGCGAGCATCTGACTATTATACTTCTAGGAATTCTAAGGCAGATTGTGGTACGTACAAGCGGTAATTCTTCCCCCATGTGTACTGGGTATAGCACAGCACAAATAGGCTGAAAACAACATTTGGGACGCAAATTTGTTGTTGAGAAATCCTTGTTGAGGATCTTATCTGAGTAATGTTTGGATCCCATGGTATGGTCAGGTTGGTGGATATACATCCTAACCAGCAGACCGATATCGTACCACGTGAAATAATCTGGTTATGATTCACGTGGTATCAATCATTGCTAATTCACTGATAAGGGCTGATCCTAATGAACTTCTCTGTGCAGGAAGAACGTCAAGGCTCGACCAAGGGAACTCTGATGACACCAGTTGCTCTTCCAAGAAACGAGCCCGGAAAGAGGGAACCATTGGAGGCAGCAACAGCTGCTAAGACGCTTTACTCAATCCGAACTTGCCTGCTGATGTCACAGACCGTAACTGAACTCTCTTGTATACAGATTAAACTTGGTTTTTTTTTTTTTGAGCTCATGAATATTATTTTCTAGTACAATATATAATATATATATCGGTATACAGATTAAACTTGGTTTTGTCTAATTCCATATTGGCAATGTCGTTTCCCCAAGAGATTTTCAGAAATGGAGATTTCTGTTGGAAAAGTATTTGGAAATACTGGCTTTTATATGAAAGATAAACATGTTCTTGTCCCATTCAATACGTGTGATTAAAAAGCAGTTGTAAATACTAAAAATGTGTGATAATGGAAGATTAAATGTAATTTAATTTGAGGTTACAAATATTGACCAACAATATATGCGTATATATACCACAAATGGTTTTTAACAAAATTAAGTATTTTAGTGGAAAGAAGGGACTTGTTTTTTCTATTTTTGTCATTTTATTCCGTCCAAAATGTTTTTGATTTTTTTTTTAAATTGAATTTGTTGGTGTGAAAGTGAGCGAATGAGATTTTGTGGCCATTAAACAGGAGAAAGAAAGCAGAGGAAATCTCTGTTTGGCAAACCACAATCACTACTCTCTCTTTCTCTCACAACAAAATCCAAACAGCCTCCAATCACTGTCCCTCTCACTTCAACACATACCAAGAAAAACCCTAACCCTAGAAGCTCCCCCCAGAAATCCTTCCTCCTCCCCTCTTCAGCCTCACACCAATGGAAGACGAAGAGGGTATTGGCTTGATTCTCGCCCGAGCCACCGAGCTCAGGCTTAAGATCAACGACTGTATTGAGGATGTTTCCTCCGCTTCAGCCTCCTCCGGCGACGGAGAAAATTCCGGCGGTACGGGCTCCTCTCCGGGAGAAGGGAGGGAGGGTAAGGGTTTGGAGAACGGGGAGGAGAAATCTGATCCCGGAATTGACGGGGAAGTGGAGGAGTATGAGGGTGAAGAAGCTGAGCGGCTTTTGCACATACGTGATGCTTTGGAGTCTCTTGAGTCTCAGCTTGCTGCTTTGCAGGTCTAAAAACCCTAGAATTTCGCTGCATCTGTTTGATTTTGGTTACAAAGTTCATCTGCTGTGTGTTTCTGGTGCCTCTCTGTACCGATCTTGTTGATAATTTTGCTGAGAAAGGCCAGATTCTCGGGAATTCTGCTGGAAGTTTTCTTTTTTCTTCTTCTTGAGTGTAGAATCGATGATTCTGGACGTGAAGACAATTAACTTCTGTGGGTTTTAGGGAACTCGCAGTGATAGAGCAGAAAATTTCAGTGTTAGAAATGGATTGATACTTTTTCTCATGTGTGAAGATTTTCGTCTCGTAGTTGTTCTTGAGAAACTATGTTTGAAATGAGATTGCTAATAGCGAGTTTTGAGATAAATGCGTGTCGAAATTCTCTTGTCATCTAAGACAGCATCTTCCAGAAGCCCCACGAATCTGCTTGAGAGTTGCTTTCTTGTTTGGTCAAATTCCCTTGTTTCATTTCTCCTTTTATGCTCTGCTCTGCTCTATGTTACGCTTTTCTATGTTACATGTTTCTCACGAAATTGGCCTCTCTTTTAATGACCAGAATCTACGGCAAAGACAACAATACGAGAGGCAAGTTGCTCTCTCTGAGATTGATTACAGCAGGAAGATGTTGCTTGAGAAGCTTAAGGAGTATAAAGGTAAAGACTTTGAAGTATTACGCGAGACATCTGCTTTTGCTGGCGAACGGGTCGAGTATGAGAGCGATCTTCTTCTTCCTCCTTATCCCATCCGCCCACCTCTTGCCCTCGTTCCTGAGAATGGCTACCTTCCTCACTTGCCTTCAAAGCAGAAAAACGACAGAAATGGTCTCGTCTCGAGCAGTCCAAAAGATGAGGTGAAGAGGAATACCCCTTACAGAGAATCTGAAAACTCAAGTAACCGGGTAATTCGCTTCGTGGGTTCTGTTGCAAAGATCATGCTTCCAATCATAGGCGTGATATCTATATTGACTGCATCCGGATACGGTCCTGAGATCAGGAAAAGAGGCGCATCATTGAAACTTCTTCGATTTCTACAGCCACAAGCCAACGGAGAGAAGAGATCATCAGTTCAGTGCCCGCCCGGGAAAGTTCTGGTGATGGAAGGAGGCGAAGCTCATTGCCTCGTGAAGGAGAGGGTTGAAGTACCCTTCGATTCAGTTGTCCCGAAACGCGATGTAACTTACGGATACGGTTGAAAAACCTCCATCTATAATCTCATTTGCCTACATTGTGAGTAAAGTTTCGGGCTTTCCCTTAGTTGTGAAGCTACGATGTTTGCATATCTCAAAAAAAGTTTTGTTCTTCAGAGAAGAAAGAGGTCCCATTATCTGTTCTGCGTTCCAATCCACATTCAGTGTATTTGCAAGTCCTTTTAACCATATAATATATGATCGGTTCGATTTCTTTTGAACCCTTTTCAGCTATTGATCAACTATTTTCCGAATATTTTAATCGATTAAATAATGAATATAAAGAGAGATTGGCCTTGGCGACGATTGGTCAAGCCCACCATTTTCGGTGGCCATAACTGAATCAAGAAAACCCGCAAAAAATTAAAACCATGTTCCATTACAGAGAGAGCACATGGTTTCTTTCCCTCTGTTCACTTTTGTTCTTTTTCAGACAAGTGTTATCTGAAAACTTGCTTGCATAACAAGAACTGTCTCTTCAACTACATGAAAGGGTCCCGAATCAAAACCTATATAAGACCCTGTCCGTGAGTGCAGATCCACACTGCAGTAGAAAGCCACATTTCTTTACAAACTTCTTATCAAAAGTACTATCGATCATTTGGGTGATTACTAAAGCTGAAGAATGAGCAGTGAGGGAGAGATTGTGTTCACGGAGGAGCAAGAGGCTCTTGTGGTCAAGTCATGGAGTGCCATGAAGAAGAATTCAGCCGAATTGGGTCTTAAATTCTTCTTGAAGTAAGCTCTAATCCACAGTTGATTAAAAGCGATGGAATTCGTCTAGAATCTAATGAACCAATGAATTTTGCAGGATATTCCATCATTGCCATCTTCATTAGTAATCTGAGCAAAATCCAAAGCTCAAGCCACATGCCATGTCTGTCTTTGTCATGGTAAATTTTCACATCCTTCCCCTTCATTTCCAATAAGGGTTTCACCTCCTTTCCATAAATTCACCGTCTGGGCTCGCTGATGATTTTGGTTGTGGTTAACTGTCAGTGTTGTGATTCAGCGGCACAACTGAGAAAAACAGGGAAAGTCACTGTAAAGGAGACAACTTTGAAGAGGCTTGGCGCGACTCATTCAAGATACGGTGTTGTCGATGAACACTTTGAGGTAAGTTTTTACCTTTTTTTTTTACCATTTCAATCACAAACTCTGTAACTATTTCATTACCAGATTCAAAATCCTCTGTAAAAAATGCAGGTAACAAAGTATGCGTTGTTGGAGACGATAAAAGAGGCGGTGCCGGAGATGTGGTCTCCGGCGATGAAGTCAGCATGGGCTGAAGCATATGATCATCTTGTCTCTGCCATTAAAGCTGAAATGAAGCTTTCTCAGTAATCATTCACAATCTGTTATTACCATATCTGAAAATTTCACTGTTTTGTTATAATTTGTGTTTGTGATTTGAATGTCGAGTTGAATTTGTTGTAATATTTTGAAAAAATAAAAATTCTGTAACATATTGATTGAGCCAAATTTCTGCAATGTCGTCTTAAGTTATGTTTTTACCTTTAATAAATCCTAGAATATATAAATATACACGTTATACGAATAAATACATTGTTTATAATTTTATAACAAAGGCAGATAATCCTTTACATATAAACACTAATTCACAATCCTAAGTAGTTATGATTCTTCTCTAATGGAGGAGAGCCCATATGGGAAACACGACGAGAAGAACGATCCCGACAGTGTTGGAGATTCCCTTAGCTTTCATGAAGGCGTTCCTGAATCCACCTGAAGCCCTAACGTGTTCCTGAAGCAACATCCAATGCCCAGACATATAACCAGCCCCACCCAGTTGCTTCTCAGCTTGTCTGCTAACAGCCATGGCTCCACCACTACCAGTAGGATCAGAGCTCCTGGCAACTCCAGCCAATCTACAGGACAACCTCGTTAGCTCATTACTCTGTCCAAGTGATCTTCTTTAGAGAACAAGAAAGATTATCAGTTCAAAACACTCGAAAACGTTTTCAAGTATATGAGCTTTTGCAGGCTACACTGTGTATCTTACTCTATCCAGGCAACATCCTCAAAATCCAGAAGGATTATCAGTTAAAACAATCGAGAATGTTTTCCCGAGACTTTCAACTAAGAGGGTGCACAGTATACGAGCTTGCGCATGCTATGTTCTGTATCATATTCGGGCAACATCAAAAAGTTTTGAGAATGTTTTCCTTGAGACTTTCAGCTAAGAGATTACAGGGAGTCTGAGCTTTTGCAGGCTATGTATTGTGGATCTTTACTCGGTGGCAAATCTAAAAGATGGTTAGTGCACAATGGTTGGATAGTTGTGAGGAGAATGGAAATGGACGAACCAGGGAAATGTCTTGGGAAGAAGAGACGCAAAACAACAGCAATAAGCGCAGTCCATTTCCCGACATCTCCTCTGCAGGGACGAGAGGAACGTTACAATGAGCAATCAAGCTCTGGTTCAACGTAGAATGGATCAGTTACAGGGTTACCTGAACAAGCTGAAAAGCACTGAAGGAAGGCTAAAGAAGACGCAAGGGATCAGAAGCGCTGTAAGGATATTTGTCTTCCAGTTCGTTCGGTCAAGGACCAACAAGTATCTGCATTTACTAGTACATGGATTATGATTCACTTATAGATAATGTATGGTGAAGACATATAATCTTGATGATAATTCACCTGGATGAACTTAAGGGGACACACACTATATATACAGAGCAAGAACATTCATCTGCTGTATATCCAGGGCAGAGATTGATGTTCGACCACTCAAGAAACAAACTATTTGAAACACCGCCGACATAACAGTGGCCCAACAGCACAGACAACGATTGTATACACGAATTCAATGAAAATTTGGACTTGTATCGGTATACCATCATCATACCAATGCGACCAATTGAGAGAGAGAGAGGTGTACGGACATGGCGGCAAAGGAAGCGACCCAGTCGAGAAATTCAGTTCCGAATCCTGACCCAACAAGTATGATCGCGTGATTCGCCATTTCTTCGCAGCGAGGGCTAGCTCGTTCAGATCGGCGTCAATCAGAGCTTGAACAGTGCTTTGGCCCCACCTTATCGCCGAGAAACTCTTCATCCCCATAGATTCTTCCGGAATTCTGGGAACTTCCCGACAGAAGCCACGGGGGGG